AGCTCAAAATATGGACGTTTGAATAATTTTTGTCCCATGATGGACGCAGTTAAAATGTAAGCGCTAGAGGGCGCTAAGTGATAAAAAACACAGTTTTTACGTTATATCTCGTTCCATATGATAAAAAAATATGTGAAAAAAATTTATTTTAACATAAGTAAAGGTGCCGTATACGATCTCAGTGTCAAATTCAATGAATTCAAAATGGCGGATCCAACATGGCGGCCAACATTTTTAAAATTAACGAATTTTCAAAACTAAAAAATGTCATTGTAATCTACGTAAAATTTTAAGTCGAAAATGTTTCTTACAAAATTTTCCTAAATTGCGTTATTTTCGTGAAAACTATCAGTAAAGATTTGGTATTTTTCGACTCGACAGATTTGGACAATAATAGATGATATGAACATGAATTTTTGAACGGTATAATTCGTAGGTTGTCCTCGGTTGTAAGGGTCACTGATTACAAATTTAATGTTGGGTTGATGGAATTTAAAATGGCGGATCCAATATGGCGGATCAAAAATAACACACAAGTGAAGCATATATCCAAGTGTTAGTGCACGCTTATTTTTTACTTTTTGTTTACATTATGTTGCATGTGATCAACGGAAAAACTTTGAGATTTTTTTTTTTTTTAAACTACAAAGCTAGTTCCTCTGAAATTTCAATATGATATATGTAGTGATAAAATGAGTGTCTCATAATTATTTTTTTTAATTCTATAGAAAATGAAATATCATGATAACCCCCTTTAATCTGAGGAGGTTTTTTTTATATGGCAATGACAACAGCACATACATACAAAGTAACACAAAAATGCAGAGCCTATTGGGTACAGTTCTTAAAATTGGCTATAAAATGCATATAAAAAACCAATGGATAGTGGGTGCTTAGATACTGAAGTATGAAGTTATACTTCTATAAAATTGTACGTCAAACAATATAATTTTGAGCATAAAAATACCTTCTATGAAACAGTATTGTGTACGAAGGTGGTGCAATTATCGTAGGAGTGAGTATACCTACGTTGATTGGGTGTGATTTTAATTTTTATTGAATAAGTTGATGATTATAAATAATATACCACGGCAAAATACAATAAAAATAATACACAGACTGGCCATTCCAAGACATGTGCACTTTCATCGAATCTTCCAGTGATTTTAGAACATTTTACTGCCAACGCTGATTGCATCTGTAACATCACGCTCATGTCTATCACATGCGATATCATACTTAATTCTTGTCAATATTTAATACTCAAAATATAATTGTACATATAAAATTAAAAAAAAACCCATCTTGTTGTATAGCTTTCTTCAATAGGGAAGTATTACATGCCAGTGAATACCCTTTCAGGACGTTCATCACACACAAGTTTTTTGACAGATATTATTCAAATATCAAATATATATTGAAATAGCATAAAAAATACCCACAAAACTTACGTCTCGCTTGACTGTACCATTATTTTATACATAATACATTAAAAAAAATGGGTATTCAACATGTAACCATATAAAAAAATTACATTGAATAGCATTCATATGATTTGTAGGAATCTCCTAATTGATTGGGTACAATAAATTACTTTTAGAAAAACCTACCAAATTTTCAAATACACCCACAAGTTGAATTTAAAATAAATTTAGAAAGAAGGAGTGAGGTGTGTGAGAAAGCATGTTTATGAGTACATCCACATAAGAGAAACAATTGCAGCACACATTAAAGTGCTAATTAGCGTTCCTCTCACTTCTGTAAACTTTTCCCTCGGTAACTACGTGAAGAACGTCCTTAAGTCAAAAATAACTTTAATTACAAATAAACAAATTGTAAAAGAATAAAACACAATATAAAATAATTATTGTATTGTACTGTGCAAAAAAATT